TGTCTTCAGGAGTTCCGCGGTGGCCCAACTCCAATGTGGATCAGAAGTTTTCAGACTTTCTCCTTAGGTCTGGAATCTTCTAAGAATGCTTTTGGCCTTAGGAACTTGGGTGACACTGACCTGAGACCCTCGCCGTGGCCACGCAGGGATGCAAAGGCAGATGGGGAGGGAAGAAGCCCCAAGATTTCCCAGGGAGTGGATTTAGTAGCTGGGTTGTACTGGATGCAAAGGATCAGGGAGAGTAAAGGTAAGCCTCGGAGCCCCAGAAAGAGGCTGTCAGCCCCAGAAAGAGGCTGGCGGGGGTTGGAGGACCAGGGAAGTAGAGGGAGATGAGGGCAGGGCCAGGACCAGAAGCGGTGCTCCTGGAGCCCAAGAAAGGGACTGAGTTGCTCTGGGTGAGAAGGGTCAGGAAGCAGTATTGGTTCCCCAGGTGTCTGGGGCCCCAAGACTAGGAATGGCGCAGGGCTCAAACTAGGAGTATAGAACGGCGAGGGGGGGGATGGAAGGGTGAATGTGGCTTAGGGAGTCCCTGCGCCGGAGAGCTTCGCTATGGACTTATGCCAAGAGGCCTGAGGATAGTGACGTTTAACAATTTTAAAGCTTATAGTAACAATGCAAGGCATGAGTTTTCAGCCTCATTTCACTAGTAAGGAAAAGAAAAACTGAGATGACAGCACCTGGACACTTTTACTCAGCGGCCAATTTGTTCAGTAAATTTTGAGAGGAGATGCATTGCCAGTCCTGACACCATGCTGGAAGCAAGACAGGACCCCCATTTTCAAGGAGTTCTCACTCCAGGAGCAAGGCCAAGAGTTGAATACAGTGGCACTGGACCCCAAACTTTCCTTCTTAAAAAGATTCCAAAAGTAGGTAGGGTTGAAAACTTCATGTTGGAACCAGTAGTTAGAAAGGTTGTAACGCTTATCAAGATTTAACAAAAGAAGTTCTCAAAGTGTGGAGAACAGCAAGCCCGTGCTGATCATCAGATTGGGCCTGGGGCCATGTGTACATTGTACATGATGCAACAGCAACAGCATGCAGTTCTTCAAATTGAAATACTAGCTAGGATCATTTTCTTTGCAGTATATGACCGGACGCCATCCAGAAAGGAAGCCACTAGTCGCTTAGGGCTCCCAATCACTTGAAATGTAACAGTAAAACTAGGGGCTGGATTTTAAATTTTGGTTAATTTTAAACAATTAATATATAGTATATGCTGAAATATTCTGGATAAATGAAGTTAAATGAAATTTCATTAAAATTAGTTTTATCTTTTTGTCTCTTTTTGCATGTACTATGAAATTACATGCATTACATAAATGGCTTGCAGTTTATCTCTATAGCAGTGCTGGTGTAATCTAAGCAGCCCTGTAGCAGAGCGTCTATTCACATAATATCTTTATTTCTGGAACTACAATATTTTCCCAGTATCTTCATAGACCTTTTACTCAACGCTATGCATTTATTGTCCTTTTTATTGGTGTTATGAAGTTGTTAACAGTTCTTGTTCTGCATCTTAACAAAATGGTCTCTAGGCCTGATATGCTGGGAAAGTCCTCCATGGTTCTCACTCTCCCACATTTATTAGGCATGGCAAGAACTTAAGACTGCCCTTCACTGGGGCCGTCTCAGAACTGAGTTTGCAGTGAGCATCTTTGAGGGACGAGGCATGCCTCCTTCCCGGACAAAGAGACGTGTGCTTCTGTTTGTGATAAAAATCAGCAAGTCTTCCTTAGAACTCCTCAGCTATGACGGAAGCCCACTGAATGTGCAGATGGCCACATTGTGTTGGATCCATGCCAATGAGGACAAGGGGAACCAACAAAAACATGCTGATGTTGGGGCCTTTCTGTACCATGAGTAATGGTCTTTTGTTTCTGTCTCTGGGGTCCATGTCCTCTGCCGGCATCTATGAAGCAGGAAGAAGCTAACCTACTAGCTGGCAAGAAAAATCACTATCAGACCCAACAGCATGTACCTAGAGCATATGTCTATACTCATCATGGGTCATAGGTTATAGAAAACTACTGACTGTGAGGGGATGCAAGAATTCCTTTTCATATGTAAGAATTTTTAAAACCTAGTTTTTACAAAAATCTGGTTTCACATGAAATATGGTAGAAAAAAATATACCTTAAAAATATTTATGAATTATGAAATAAGTGTCAACATTTCTCTCCCTATAGCAAAATATTGTACATGTGCTTATATGAATTATCAGTATACAAAAGTGTGTCTACAATCCATTTATTATCCACTAGTATTTCTCAGAGTGTTTTGTAAACTAGCAAATGAGCTTAGACATTCTGTGGGACTGTACTTAAATGTGACAGATTTTACAGAGAACCAGTATTCTATATAACAGATACGTTCAGGACAAAAAAAGCACTATAAAATGTATAAAAATAGATTAAAAACACAAATACAATGTGTTGTTGAAATTTCAGAGATGTTTCTTTTTCTTCTCTTTCCCCTTTACCTCAAAAGTAACAAACACTTTTGAAGCCGCATGTATTGTTGCACTTTTGATTTTTTGTTGTACAGTTAATGAACCCGAGAGTCTGGCTAACTGTTGATCGTCCATTTGGCCTTCCCATTCTTTTGCTTCTTCTTCTTTGATTAGTAGAGGTTTTCCTAGGGTTTGGCCAACAAGGTCACAGACTTCTTGAGCTTTGCGCCATGCATTCTCTACAGCAACGAGACAGGCTTGCCGCCTTAGGGATTCAAAGTAAAGATTATTAATACAATGTTACGTGAACTGCAGCATCAAGAGTATTGTTAGAATGGATACTGTAAAGGTGTGCTATACTTACCGAAGATTCTCAACAGAACCCGGAGTATGATAAAACTCGGCTGGGCTGATGACAACGGAACTATCTAACTTTTCAACCAGAAAATTACAAATACTTTGCATTTTTCCAAATTCAGTAAATGTAATGCAGACCTGTAAGTGAAGTAACAATTGTTATTTTCATGTCTGACACAATTTCAAAAAAGAAGAGCTAGATTATAAAGTCCTTAAATATACCAGACAGGAAAAAACCTATTTACTACTTCTAGCTATATCATTTTGTAATTAAAGGCTTCTGATCAGGAAATTTAAAATGATCTAATTATTGACTTGTATATTTCAAAATTTCATTTTAAACCATTTGAAACTTTATTCATTCTTGCTTTTCCCCTTTAGCTTTATTATTTGGCTAAATTCTAGCTGTGGTAGACTCTGTTAGATCTCTGACTGGCGGTGATTTCCCACCTCCCTGGTGCCACTCAGGAATGAGTCTCTTCCAGTGCCTCAGATCTGAGTGCAGCAGTGAGTCTCCTTTCCTGTCACCTGCTTTTAGATATGCGGAACCCCCTCACTTCAGCACTTCTGTAAAACTGTATTTTTAGCCTTTTAATGGAAAACTAAATCTTTTCTTTTAAAAAGCCTTATACACACACACACACACATACACACACACACATGCACACACGCACACACCTGTAAAATAAGTATGTTCAGGTACAAAAGGAGGAAGAGGAAGTAAAGGTTAGCCAACCTTACCTTATACAACACAGAACACAGTATTTAACCATAAATGTTATCCAATGAAGACTAATTTTCCATCTGGTTTTAACAGTAAATGTTGGTAAGAGCAACAGGCAAGGTAGCAAAGATTCATTTTTCATTTTAGGTTCCAAACACTGGGATGCTCCAAAACTTGCAATCTTGCCTTCTAGTAAATCAATCTCTACTTTTCGGGGGAGGGGGCTTTTTTTTAAAACTGAACTTTTGCAATTCTCATACTAAATATAGTTTATAGGTATTTAGATCCTCTCCCCTATCCACATCTCCCCTTACTGCCCCCCACCCAATTTAATACACACAGACACACAGACACACACACACATGCACACACACACACACACACACATATAGCGCCCACAGAGTCTGATTTATGTTCCTAAATGTGTTCAATGTGGGTCCATCCACTAGTCCCAACAAGAGTCCCATCCCTGTAAGACACTCTCTTTCCCCCTCCCAGCATCATCAATTGCCAAAAGTTCCTCTGGTTGGGTTGGGATTTCTTATCCAAAATAAGCACCCTCAAATTTACAGACAAGTGTACCTTTCACCCCTCATCAAAGAAGCTCCTTTTTGCAACTAATGGAGACTATTACAGAGTTCCAGAACTGTCAAACACAGAGAATACTTATCTGTGAGATGCTTAACCCTAAGTGGCACATCTTCAATCCAACCTTTATACATAGGATGAATGCATCTCTCAACTCTCACTCTCACTAAGTTTCCTTATGCAGAAGATGGTGACTGACACAGAAACCCACTACTGGCCAATGTGCAGAGAACAAGAGACTGCAGAGTGCTTATCTCTGAATAGGACACCTATTTTAAACCTCTGCTTCCCAAGGATCAGGGATCATTGTGGAAGAGGAGGCAGAAAGATTGTTTAAGACTTGGGGGTCGGGGGTGGATGACCACAAGGAATCAGAGTCTTCTAGACAGCTGGTTAGTTACTCATATGAACTCACAGCAATGGTGACAGCATGCACAAGTCCTATGCAGGCTCAAACCTCTACTTTTTAATCTAGCATCTGTCTCCTTCCAAAGACCAGTTTCTTAAATAACAGCCCACTCTGCCTCTGTTCCATCAGCATTACTTCAGCTCTCATCTGTGTCTACATTTGCTGTTTCAGGAAAGCTTCTACAGTTACCGACCACTTCTCATGTTTTTAATACCTGCCCTCCTATGCTGCCAAGACTTCATTCCTGCCAGTCCCCTTCTTCTATATTCCTAGCTCCTTGGCTCTGAGACACTATTTTCACAGTATTTCTTTGACCCATCTTTTGTCCATTTTCTGTGCTTCCACATCAACTTCCTACAGCCTTGGATATGCAGTCTTGGTATTTCTATCATCTCCGTAAGTACCTTCTACTATCATAGTTTAAACTTTCTTACCATGGAAACTTTCAAGCACATATGTAAGTAAACAGTATAAAGAACCCTCAGGCATCTACTACCCGATGAATGACACTTTTAGTTTTTACTTTATAAAAACCTCACAGAGTCTACTTTTTCAGAGTGAAGATCTATTACTTATGGCCAATATATACAGCTCTGTAACTATAAAAATAAATGCCTAGAACTGCCTCATTACTTTCCAAATCTCCTGAAATAACTTTATTATCAGCTCTGACCTCAGCTCCCAAGCCTCTGGCAAACACTGACCTGTACGTAACAGATGCCTTGTCCTGGAAGCAAACAATGAGCTGTCTCTGGAGACTCCTTTTACTTGGCATAATGCATGTACAAGTTCATCCATGTTCTTGCATGACTACTTGCTTTATTCTGAGTAGTGTTCTATGTATACACTCATAGTTTGTCTGAAAAAAACCTCATTTTCAATTTAGGTGATTATGACTGAAGATGCTTTCAAAGCAGTTGTAGATATTTTACATTTCTGAATGTATTTTAGACTCAGTTTGCCAATCTCTATTTTAAAATGCTAGCTGAGATTTGGATTGGGATTGTGATGGATCTACATGTAAATCATTTTAAGAACAAATATCAATAATGTTGAGCCTTCCAAGCCACAAACAAGACCCACTTCTCTATTTATTTAGGACTTTAGTTTCTCTCAGAAATGTTTTATAGCCTTCAGTATATATTACCAGATTTATCTCTGGACATTTAAATTTTTTATGTTTATTATTTCTAAAAGTTTTTTTTTTGTTATTGTTGTTCCATAAAATTTTCTAGATAGGCTATCATGTTGTTCCCGAATAAAGACAGTTTTACTTCTTCTTTCTCAGTTTGGATGCTTTTACCCTATCTTTTTCTTTTTTTTTTTCCAGCCTGATTGTACTGGCTAGAATTTCAAGTACAATGCTTTTAGAAGCTGTATCTTTGTATGGTACCTGCTCTTAAGGCATATATATTCAATATTTCACCATAAGTATATAACTTACAGTTCTTCAATAGATACCCCTTTATCGGTTTGCAGGTTTCCTACTATTCCTAGCTTACTGAGAATTTTTTTTCTTTTTTTAAAAAATATTTTACTTATTTTTATTTTATGTATATGAGTATATTGGCTGCATGTATGTGAGTGAGCCATGTCGTGCAATGCCACGGAGGTCAGAAGAGGGCTTCAGATTCCCGTGGAGCTGGAGTTAAGAACAGTTTGTAGCCGCCACGTGGATGCTGGGAATCGAACCCGGGTCCTCTGAAAGTGCAGTCAGTGCTCTTAACCACTGAGCCATCTCTTCAGCCCCGAATTTTTTCTTTTTTTGAGACAGGGTTTTACTATGTAGCTCTGGCTGGCCTCAAAATCAGAGATCTGCCTGCTTCTACTTCATGAGTGCTGGGATTAAAGGTGTGTACTACTCCTCCTAGTCTATTGAAATATTAAGAATTGATGATGGTTGGGTTGGAGAGATGGTTCAGTAGTTAAAAGCATGTACTGCTCTTCCAGAGGACCTGAATTCAATTCCCAGCAACCAATTGCATTGTTAATAACCACCTGTAACTCCAGCTCCTGAGGGATCTGATGCCTGTCTTCCGTGGGCACCTGCACTCACATGCACATAACCCCCTCCTCCTCATATACACAGTTTAAAAAAATAAATCTTTTTAAAGAAATATTTACTATATTTTATGTGTATGAGTGTATCATCTACAAGCATATAAGTGCACCCATTTCATGAAATGCCCATGAAGGTCAGAAGAGGACCTTCCCCTGGAACTGGAGTTACAGATGGTTGTTAGCAGCTGTGTGGGTGATGGGAACTGAACCCAGGGTCTTTTGGAAGAGCACCTAGTGTTTTTAACCACTGAGCCGTCTCTCCAGCCCCAATAAAAATAAATCTTAAAAAATAAAAACAGGAGGCTAGAGAGATGGCTCAGTGGTTAAGAACACTTTAACTCACGAGCATAGGAAATTGAGTTTTAGTAACTATTAATAATCTTTTCATTAGTTGTAACATCCACTTCAGTCCTAGGATGACTTAATTAACTTTTCTCTATTAGAAGTTTTTTTTTGTCTTTACTTTGTAAGCTAAAATATAGATAAATTATAGTAAAGTAAAAATAAATGTAAAATTACATGTCTGAAAACAGAATGTCTTATATGTTGATGGCTACCTCTATATAAACACATTGGGTGTGGTGGCACACGCCTTTAATCCCAGCACTCGGGAGGCAGAGTTCAAGGCTAGCCTGGTCAACATAGTGAGTTCAGGTCAGCTGGGACTACAGGGAGACCATGTCTCAAAAAAAAAAAAAAAAAAAAAAGACTCATTAAAAGATGAGATGATGTGCAGAAATAACCTGACATGATAGACGTGCAAGGAAAAGTAGAAAAGAGCAGAAGAAAAATGATCATCAAATTACTTTTCCTATTTAATACACATTACTGAATAACTACTACATCAAAGCCTCAAGAGTCTATGGTAACGTTCTCTTTTTCTGCTCCTAGAAACCAAGTCACGAGCCACTGCTCTCACGTTCTTCCTCACCACAGCCGGAACACAAGCCAGAGAGCCAGTGACTAACACCTCTGAAGCCACAAGCCTAAATTAACTTTATGACCGATTATGACATAAAAAACCATGAGAAATGGCAAGTACATAAACACAAGAGTTGCAGGCGGGGATTTTGATCTAAACTCGCACATCTAAACTCACCCATGTTTACAGAACTCATCTGGAAGTACTTTCAAAATTCTTCTCTTTAAAATAAAGGGAAACAGCAGGGCGAGTAGGGATTTAAAAATATTTAAAATGCCTGTCAAAATGAAAATTTAAGATGTTACGTGAAAAAGCAATGTCCTTTAAAAAATGATTTTTGTTTTGTTTTGTTTTGTTTGGACGGGGTCTCAACTCTGCGTCCCTGGCTGACCCTGGTGTTCGCTATGAAGACCAGGATGGCCTGGAACTTGTAGAGATCCGGTGACCTCTGCCTCCTGAGTGCTGGATTAAACCTGCACCACCACACCTGGCTTTAAAAAAGTCTATGTGTGTGTTTGAGTGTATGCACACAGTGTCTGTACATGCGTGCCTGTGAGAATGCAGAGGTAAGAGTGCATTGGGTCCCTTGAAGCTGCAGTTACAGGTGTTTGTAGGATGCCCGGCTTGTTACTGAGGTGCTGGGACCTGAACTATAGTTGTAATGATTGTGCAACAAGTGCTCTTAAGCACTAAGCCATCTCTCAAACTTCTGAAAAGTAATGCTCTATCATTAATCTTTTATTTATTTATTTATTATTTTTATTTTATTTTATGTGTATGAGTTTATTCCCTCCATGCATGTAAGTGTACCCGTGTTGTGCAGTGCCAGTGGAGGTCAGAAGAGGGTGTTGGATTCCCTGGACCTGGAGTTATGGACACTTGTTACCTGCCATGTGGGTGCTGGGAATCAAACCTGGGTCCTCTGCAAGAGCAGCCAGCGCTCTTAACTGCTGAGCTACTCCTCCAGCCCTCATTAATCTTTTTTAAAATGTATAGGTTTATTGAAACATAAATGATAAACCAAAAAAATCCTCTACATATTTAGCATAGGCAATTGATGAGTTTGGACACATGCATAGAGCAGATAGACCACTATGACCAAGGCAAAAAGCTATCCTTTTAAATCTGTAAGTGCACAGTTTCTCATTAACTGCATATACTATTATAGCATAGCAGATATCTAGAACTTACTTAACTTGTACCTTTATACCAAGTCAACAAGAACTCCCTTCCCCACCTCTCCTCTCCATGGCAACGACCACTCTGTCTTCTGTCTTCATTCTGTTGTATTTTAGATACATAACATAAGCAAAATTATCCAGTATTTTCTGTCTTTTTTGAGATAGGTTCTTGCTATTTAGCCCAGGTTGGTGTTAAGATTGGATCACTCCTGCTTCAGTCTCCCAAGAACTAGGAATATAGGCATGTAGCACCAGGTCTGGCTTGCATTTGCCCTTCACATGATGGTGTTTCAGATATATCCATGTTGCAGCATATGAAAGGATTTTCTTTTCCTTTTTCTTTTTTTGAGACAGGGTTTCACTGTAGCCCCAGCCGGCCTGGAAATTGCTTTATGGATCAGGCTGGCTGGTCTTGATCTCACAGAGATCCACCTGCCTCTGCCTCCCAAGTCCTGGGATTAAAGGTGTATATTACCACTCCACCCCTTTCATTCTTTTTTTAAAGGTATAATAATAATATTCATACACACATATATAACATTTTATTTAGCCATTCATCAGTCAAAGACAGATAGCCTCCTTACTAGATAACCTGTTCCAACCTATGCTCATTAACAATCTGAAGTCCTAGAGGGACACACACACACACACACACACACACACACACACACACACACACAATATCCTCCTAATGTTAAACCTCTGTAATTTAACATCTTAGCTGATCTCTCTTCATTCTATGAAAATAACCTTTGCCAAATAGATGCTTGAACTCACAATGAGTGATTATACATTTCCTTGCAACAGTTAAATTTTAAATGTAGAACTTACCAAGCTATTAAGGTGATTGTTGGGCAACAAACAAAATATTGGTAAAATTCCTATGTCAGGGGATTAGAAATCTTTTTTCTAAAGTTTATTCTTGTTACTTTGATCTTACACTTGAACTTTAAGAAGCAGAAGCCCAAATAATCTAAACCTAATATTAAAATTACTTGGCTGAAGCACCAGGGGACTTCTTGAGTTATTTTTTGTCTCTAGAGGAAAAGATTCTCTCACTGGGCAAATGGATTCCGCTCTAAACCACTCATGTTTGTAGACTAAACATCCCCAAAAGCACTGGGAGCCAGAACCAGCAGTCTTGTCACAACTAGAACATACTCTAATACCATAAAACCCTAACTCACTAAACTTGAAAGATAAAGTACAGCAGTCATAGGATCTAAATGAATTGAGTAATCTGAAAATAGTTTACTTCTTTTTAAGGATAACTTAAAAAATTTAAATAATACTTATCACAGTAACAATGAAACTGTATTGTGAAATAAAAGAATGTTAAGAAGAGTCTCTGTTCATGTAATTTTTATCTGAGAGAAATTTCTCTCCTGAAGTGGTTCCTGCTCATCAGGTAATAATATTACTCAAGTTTACTCAGGTGGTATTTAACTGCTATTCCCCAGTTGCCATTTTTATTGAATCTTAAGCAATTTCTCTTAAGTCGATCTCATTAACTTTATTTTAAAATATCAAAGATACATAGCAGAGTAATTGTGAGAGCAATCTCTCAGCACCGCCATGAGAAGCACTTCTCTGTAGATCTCAGTTCAACAATGGAACCGCAGCTGGCTCTGCAAAGTCATGCTGTTCCCAATATTTGTACATACCTCAGCTTCCATGTGATAAGCATTTTCCACTCTTTTAAAATCCTTGGTCACTGTTACATTTTCTGCCTGAAACAGAAAGCACCAGAGTTTGACTGCTAAACCTTTAGCTACGAGATGCTATTATTTTTACATATCACTTAGAAACTCAAACTTGAAATAGTCAGAGATGAGTTACACAAAAAGAACTGCCTGTCCTGATATTTCAAACTTTCTTAAAACTGCCATAAAATACATTTGGAAACCTACAAATATTTGCTTAAGAATATTTGATTGCAATACTGGGTGTGGTGGTGTGTGCCTTTAATCCCAGCCCTCAGGAGGCAGATGCAGATGAACCTTTACAAGATCAAAGCCACCGTGGTCCACATTGTGACTTCTGGGCGGGCTGTGACTAGAGAGAACTTGTCAAAAAATAATCACCAATAAAACAACAAAAAAAGGACCGATTCAATTTTCTGTCTATTTACTGTCATCTAATGATCTCATAAAGAAAGTATGAACTTAGGGTATATACAAGTAATTGTACAAAAAGCACATTTAACAACAGAGGTGTGTGAAGAGCTTAAAGTGTTTAATTTAGAAGTAATACAAATTGGCAAAGTACCTATTATGTGTACCTTTGGGTAACTTACTCATTATTTTTTGAGCCTTTGATTGTAAAATCATCTTAATATATATGCCACATGGAACTGTTCTTAGGATTTAAAAACAAGTTGTATAGAAAGTACTTGGATAGAGAAAACACTACACAAAAGTGGAACCTGTCCTATGATGGTACAGATATTCCTGAAACTGGACTTGAGCCAGCCTGTTTTAGAAGAGTAGCATTAATATTGATCCATTCTCTGCAAAAATACAGGGTACCTAAATCTGATGAAAAACTTAAATTTCATATTTATTTTACCAAAAAATGCTTTTGAATATAGTAAAATGAACTCTTCATGTACTGTCATCCTTTGAGACATTCTGTATGATTTTAACATTTTTCAAAATATGACAGAGAGTAGTTTCTGTGCCAAACAGTAATTTAATTTTAAGTTATTCAAAGAATGTGGATGCATCTAATGATTAAGAAATAAGCTAATTAAAAGCAGCTTATGCTATCTAGAAACATTCTACAAAGCTTTACATATTTGAACTCAGGTTCTAATTATAGCTCTGAAGTCTGTTTCTCCCATGAAAACAGGAACCCTTTTTTAAATTAAAAGGCAGAAAATTTAGGGTCTGGAGAGATGGCTTAATAGTTAAGAGCACTGGCTGCTCTCGCAGAGGACCTGGGATCGGCTCCAGCACCCACATGGCAGCTAATAACTGTCTGCAACTCCAGGTCCAGGGGATCCGATGGCTTCTTCTTGCTTTCGTGGGCACTGCATGCACAGGTGCATTTACATACATCCAGGCAAAACACTTATATACATAAAAATACATTTTAAAAAAGTTGAAAAGAGAGAATTTAGAAACAGAGATTCAATATAAAACAGCACTGCATATATGGCTTTTAATCAGATTTTTTTTTCACTTAACGTGTAACTTTTCCATCAGAAAATAATTTTAGGACATGTAGATATATCTTCATTCTACTTTCAGATGCCATTTCTTTCACTTTTCATATAATAATTAAAAACGATTGAAAAATTATTATAGAGATAATTTTAAGAAAGGCAACTGGAAAGAAAAATGATGATTATTTTCATTTTAATAGTGGTATTTAAAAACTATAAATATATACTAAAGAAAATTTAATAAAGAACCAAAAAAGTAATAATGCCCCCAAACACTACTATTGTTTATAGCTTTGCTTTTTTTTTTTTCCAGACAAGGTCTTACTATGTACCTCTGGCTGGCCTGGAACGCACTATGTAGACCAAGGTGGCCTGGAACTCACAGAGATTCGCATGTCCTCTGCCTTCCAGGTGTTGAGATTAAAGGTGTGCATCATCATGCCCAGTTCTGTTTAACATCTAAGTAAACATCTTAATAAACAATGTATCAACATGTATCTAAACATATCTAGATGCATTATTTTTTAAAAATTTTATGTGCTATGAGTGTATTGCCTGCCCATAAAGTGCACCAGTGTCATGCAATGCCTGAGGTCAGATAAGGGTGTCAGATCTCCTGGAACTGGAGTTATAATGGTTATTAGCCATCATGTGGGTGCTGGGAATGGAACCTGGGTCCTCTGCAAGATCAGTCAGTGCTCTTCACTGCTGAGCCATCTCTCTGGTCCCAAACATATCCAGATTTATGTATAGACATTTCCATAAATATATTCTATTACTGTTTTGAAATATTAAAAAATAAACTTTCTCTTTGGGAATTATATTTACTGAGAAGTTGTCAGGCTAGTACAGAGAATTCCCAGGGCAGAGATCATAGCCGCAGGAGCATGGGGCTGGGACTCCTGACATCTCCCAGGACCAGGAAGTAGAGACCAGAGGTTCTGGCCCCTTCAGTCATACTTCAGCCCCTAGGTCCCATGATCTAAAATGTTCCATGGCCTACCAAAATAGCGACATCAGCTGGGAACCTGTCAGGAGTTCCACCCACATGCTCCTGTGGCCTAGAACTGTACAATGCCCTCCCAGCCATAATGAATTGTACCTCTCAAACCATGAGCCAATATAAAGCCTGAAACACATATACTGGTCTACGATTGTTTCCTGTATCTTCTCATGAAGCTAAACAAAGAGTTTCTAGATTAAAATCAGCATTCACTCTAACTTGGTCTTCATCAGTGAGAAACCTGGCTCCCACCATCTGTCACCCATCCACTCACTTGCCCAACACCAGTATGCATGAAAAGCAGTTTCAGAATTATTTACTGGTGCACATTTGAAAAGAAATGTAGCAGCCAGTGCAGAGGATTTCGGTACTTTTCATCTTCATCCTTACAGTTTCCAGTTAAAACATTACTTTCTAGTTATTTAGGACATACCTTTTCCTCAACTACCTTTAGTACAGTTGTGTCATACTTTATAATTGGGTTCATTCATCAGAGCCTGAACTGTCTCAGGATTAATCTCTGAGAACCTGTTTGATACATTTCCTCCCCAGTTTGCAAATGTTAATAGTCACTCTGTGACTTACAGCTGTTATGTGTTTTGACAAATGCATACAGCTATGATTCTCCACTCCAGCATGGTGAAGAACAGTCCTTTCACCTTCAAGGTTCTCCTCTGTATCCCCTTGAGAGTTGACTGCTCTCTGTTAGGACAACTGTCAACTACTGACCCTAGTTGTCTCCAAAGTTTTGCTTTTTTGAATGCTACATGAATGGAATAATAAAATATAGGTCTTTTGGGCTCGGCTTTTTACTTAGCAATGTGCAGCCAAGATGTGAGATGAGCTGTGTGTGGTATGGACGGCAGAGTCAGAGAAGTAGAGCTACCGAAACCCTTTGGAGCCTGAAAGATCATGAGTGAATTCCAGATGGCCAGTCTTGAGCTACTTTGCTGGACTTAGGTTTTCCTTAGGTATGCCCAATTCCTCCCTTTTGAAATTGGATTTTATAGGCACGCACAGTTTAAGAGACTTTTAAAAGAGACTACGGAATTTTAAGCGTTTGGATTTTTTAAGGACTGTGGGACTTTTAAGGTTGTACTATTTTATGTTATGTTATTGTTAACATCATATGTTGGGGTCAAGAAAAGGAAAGGTCACGGTTTAATAGTGATGTGTTTGTGTGTCAAACTGACAAAGGTTCAACTGTGCTGGATAGCTTAGTCAACTTGACACATCGGGGTAGAGGGAGCCTCAAATGATGTATTGCCTCTATTGGACTAGCCTATGGGGTATTTTCTTAATTGTTGTTGAGTGGGAGAGCCCAGCCCACTGCAGGTGGTGCCACCCTTAGGGAGGTTGTTCTGTATTGTATGGGAAAGCAGGCTGAGCATGGGCCAGGAGAGCAAGCCAGTAAGCAGTGTTCCCTCATGGTCTGTGCTTCACTATCTGCCTCCAGGTTCCTACCTTGGGCTCCCTCAGTGATGAACTGTGACCTAGAAGATGTAAGATAAAACAAACCCTTTGCTCCCCAAGTTGGTATTGGTCAGAGTGTTCTGTCACAGCAATGGAGAAACAAATTAAAATAGTTCGTTCTTAAAAACAAAGCAGAAGTCAGCTAAACTAAGAGGGGAGAGATAACAGCAAAGACAGGAGTTAGGTTCCATCTATTAAGAAAGTTAGATTGTGAGGAGTACTCTAAGCAGGCAAGTGCATCTTTATAACTCAGTATTCCAAAGTTTAACATGAATAAGGCCTCTGTGAAGATCCATAACTCATCCTGAAAAGTAATATGATTTTTATATTATCTATGGAACAAATTATCTGCATGACTGCTCTCCTCCATTAGCAAATATAACTGGGAGATTACTGACCTTCCTGTGCCTTACTCTGAACACTGAATTTCAAAGTCATTACAGTTAAGTTGGACTTTATTTTGTTTTACATATTAAAAGTCAGAAACATGAGCTTAGTTTACATTTTACATGAATGATGTACAAACTAGCTACATTTATCAAACAGGACCGCAGCACTGGCAATAGGTTGTTTAGGAGCTATTTCTGTACATACTGAACCCATTTTAGTCACATTGTTTACAATTAGTATTTACATTTTTCTAAATTGTAAAATCACTTGGGCAATTATTTTTTGCAAATGACTTCAATCATTTGTCTGTAAATGTAATACAAGCATATTTTCTTTTAAAAATGAAGATGTGCTTTCGAAAATATGGCAGGCATTTCTAGTGATAGACCAGAAGCAAGAATATGAATGAACACTCATCAAGTCAGAGTTGCCCTGGATAAATCACAGTTCTGGCCCTTAGGGTCCTGCTTTGTAAGAGGATAAGACTGACAGAGCTGATTGTGGATTCTAACTTTCTTTCATTGTCATTATGGGAAGTGTGGCAGAGTTGGAAACAACTAGATTGTGATTTCAGAAACAGGAGTTCAAATTGTCAATGTTCAGAACATTGGTTAATCTCTTTAAATCTGAAAACCGGGATATCAAAGCAAGCGTGAGTTGCTGTGTGGATTAAATGAGGCCGGTTCCTGGTTTTCTTTTCTTAGAAGAGCACAAGATAGGATCTGTAGTGATCAGTTTCGAAAACATGTCCAGGCCTTTGAGGGCAGAAGCATTTCACTTGTGATACCTATATATACTGACTTATCTAGAAAAGTTAAACCTAAAAAAGTTTAAGAATTTGGGGGAGACGATCTTCATAAACTGAAAACACAGACTAAATTTGCCAATAAACTGAAGAACCACGCCATATAAGCTTTGACTGGGGAAAGCAGTTCAAGCTCTGCACTTGCCAATTCCTAAAATGCAGAATAAAAATGACCAAAAAAGAAAAAAAAAAGGTGATTGGGGTTCAACATTCCACTAAGACAGGTATTAACATCCCTTCGAGTTTAGAAACGAAATCATCGCAGCAGACAGGGGGTAACCCACTCAACGCTGTCACGCTTTCAAGTTTACTGAGGATGCTCTCTGGATTTAGAAGGAAGGGCCAGCACGCACTGTCCACCCGAGCTCCGGGGTCGCCGGCCCCGCGCCCTGCCCCGTCCCGGAAGGCCCAGCTCACCGGCAGACCCTGCTGCTGGAGGCTCTGCGTGATGTAGTCCAGGCGGCGGCAAACACTCTTCTTGGCCTCGGCCGCCGCCTTTTTGGTGCTGCTCACCCGCACGGCCACTTGCGCCCGGTTGGGGCTGGCTGACACTTCGGCGGAGCCGCTCACGTGGACCTCGCGGGGCGCAGGGTGGGCCTCGGCGGCGGCGGGGAGGCGGCGACCTCCGGACTGCGCCTCGACGCCCGAAGTCGGGTGGTTTTCCCGGCCCTGGTCAGCCCAGGGAACCAGTTCCACGAACACCCGCGATGGAGGAGCAGGGTGCAGCGACATACCTGGGCAGCGAGGTTGCCATGGCAACGTCAAGCTGACGGCGTGGGCGGATTCCCAGCGCCAGGCGCTCTCAGTCAGCGGATGCAAAGGATGCCGGGAGGGGCGGGTCGCCCAGTCCTGGGAGGGCCCTTTGTGGTTTGTTGATGGTGGCTACTTGCCTAGAGGCGTGGGCTACACGCTCCGTACCTCCTTTTCCGGCGTTTAGACGTCACCAGACAGGCTGGTCTTTAGGGCAGCACCGGCCTTCCACCGGACTGTGGCCTCGGCACGGGGACTGTCCCACTCCCAGCCCCGCCGCCCCCCCCTTACGTACCCACGTACATTTGTTCTCAATACTGAGCCGTTGCCCCTGAGATAAACTACGTTTTGCCTATGTGACTTTGGGCAGTTTCTGACTCCTCGAATCTCATTTTTTTCCAGAGCCATGTTAGCATGTTTCACGTTTGCTGTGTATTTGTTAGATGTGTGTAGAGTGTTGGGCATATGGAAAGTATAGAGAAGATAACGCGTAAACAATAGCTAAATCTTTGGAATGATTGTCGCGTCTCAGATCCCGAAATCCTTGGAACAGTGCCGGCCTGAACCCAGGACAGGAGACAGCCAGTGGTGTCAGAGCTCATTCACCGTGGGTAATGCTGGGTATATACAGCCTGGCTCGTACACCCTTTAAAAAAATGATACTAAGAATTTAAATTATTTTTCTTCTTGATTTCTTTGATGACTCATTTATCATTTAATGATATGTTGTTCAATCTCCATGGGTTTGTGTAATATCTATAGTTTCTTTTGTTGTTGATTTGTACTTTAATTCCATTGTGGCCAGATACAATACAATAAGTTATTCCAAAAACAAAAACAAAAACAAAACAAAACAAAAAAAATGTATTTGCTTATTTTGAGACGGGGTAGGCCTGTGTAGCCCTGTCTGGCCTGGAACTTACCATTTAGGCCAGGCTGGCCTCAGACTAAAGAGCTCCCCCTGCTTTTCTTTCCGTAGTGCTGGGCTTAATAAAGACTTGCACCACCACTCCTGGCTTATACACTTTTCTTGAGAGAGCCTCTGTAAGGAAACCCTCAACTTCCCGGTCTCCAAAGCCACCCCCATTATGGTCATTTTCTTAACCACCAAGCTGTGGTCTTTGTGGAAATAGCTCATCTGATTACTACTAGAATTTTATCAACAGATTGAGGAGGAGGAAAGCTTTGAAAGTGTAGGAACTATTCTCTTGAAAAGAACCTGAAAAAGTCAGTAGTCCTCAGGACATGTTCCTCTAATTTTTAAAACTGCATGATAATTTATATAAGATAACCTCTTTTCATTTGGTCATTATTGAATAACATAATTTTGTGGATATTTGGATGCTTATTGTAAGATGAAATGTTTTAATTAAAACTACACATACATGCATATATATGTACTTACATATATGCACATTCTACAATTCCAGATAACTGAAATACTTGTTAAATTTGGTGAAGAGTTCTTTTGCCCTAATGATGAAGGCTATAGTCCCCAAAATGAATAATTGAAAGAATGATTGTCATAAGCAAAAAGCAGTATTTTAAGTATGTTCAGGATAGGATATAAATTTCAAATTACTGGAAAAATGATTAAGTAATATAATTGGCTAGGTGTAGTGAAAAATTGATCTGTGTGTTACATTATACACTGAAAATAACACTCAAAGTGAACAAAAATTTCAGAAAATACATAAATATAAATATAATTCTGAGGAAGAGAAGGCATTTCTTAAGCAGAATTTTAAATGTAGGAACCGTAAAGGAAAACTGGATAAAGAGGATGCCAAAAATTTGCCAGTATGTGAACCAAAATCTATCAGGTGAAGAGGTAGGGAAATAAATGTGAACAGGTATTTGTAACATTTATGTCTAAGGAGATGTCTAAATACTTGGAGAGTTGTTACCTTAAAAAAAATAAATAAAAAGAAAACCAGATAAGGAACACAGAGACAAAGTGTTAATAAACTTGGGCTTCCATTGAAGCTTAGTACCACTTCATATTTTCATAATTCTAGAGGTTAGATGTTCCAGATCAAGGCATCAGCAGGTGTGGTTGCTCCTGACTTCTCTCTGCAACAGCTGCCTTCACAGGGCCTTGCTTCTGTGCCTAGTGCACACCACCCTTTGTGTCTCTTCTTCTTATAAGAACAACAATCCTGTTGGACAGATTAGAGACCTGCACTTAGTACTTCTTTTAACTTTAATTACCTCTTTAAAACTCTTGTCTCCAAATATAGTCACTTTAAGTTTAGTTCTCCAGCACAAGAATAGAAGTGGAGCAGAGACCAAGTCCCTGCAAACCAAAGTGCAGAAATACTAACAGCCTATAAATGAAAATTTAAAAGTTTACTAGCAGTGAAATAAAAGAAAACTTACCCATTGGCAAGTGATGAAGTCAGAATGCAGAAAAAAAAACAGATAAAAGTAATTTCCAAAAAAAGAGGGATTAGTTCTTGGTAACAAAACTGTAATAAAAGTAGCTATGCCTCAGGTAATTTATGAGCTTTTCAGGGGAGAATGAATGGGAATGAATGTATTTATTCCGATCACAGCAACCCTCTTTTCTCTCAGAGTTAAGGCTCAGCCCATAGCAACCATTTTGAATAAGGTGACTGTACTAACTTGATTGAATTAAGAATATGCATCTGATTGAAGCTGGGCCAGTTGGAATTTCTGGTCTAAGGATCTATATTTACACTAAATTTCAAAACTTGTCTATTCAAATAATATAAATGAGAGGTAGACGGGTTATTTTCCATGAAAAGCAGAGCAAGTCATTGCACAGAAAGAGAAAAAGAAATCATACATTCAGAGAGGACTGTATGGCTTGCAGAAAGGGAACAGAGGCATTTCTAATCTTTGTTTTGGGAACTTTCCATAGGCCTAATTTCATTGCTGCCCTATACTTTTGTAAAATATTCCTGTACTATTATCACAAATCCCCCTCATTTGAGTAAGAGGCTAGATTAAATTTTATGTTAGATTAAAACTGAAATGGCTGTTGAAAGTAGATAATGGAGGAAGCCCGAAGAATATGTAGAACAGCACAAAGTACATCTCCCCTTGGAGAAATGTTTCCTGGACACTATCAACCAGGGATGTCACCATGCATCAGCTTTCCATTTCTGACTGCTACCTGCATGACAAGAGCCACCCTGTTCATAACCTATGCATAAAAGCTTCAGGTTTTATTGACCGTCCTGAGTTGGTGATGCTATAAACCCCATGCATCTACTGATGTAAGCTGAGAGGTGTTCTAGGGCAATGTTGGTGGGTGACACAGCGTCCAAGTGCCTGCTCTTGCAGCTTCTTCATGCTCTTGGCTCTGCTCATGCTTGGTGTCCCAGATGCACCCTTTTATTTAAAAAAATTTTATTGAACTTTTTGCAAATTTCATACAATATATTTTGATCATATTTAGACTCCCTTCCCTATGTCATCCGTCTTATAGCCCCCACCCCCACCAGGTTTCATGTACTCTGTCATATACATTAAGGTCTATGGATCAAATTTGTGTCTCCAAATGTTCTTTGGTGTGGGTCCATCCATTGGAGCCTGGTTAATCTATCATCACACCCTTAAAGAAAACATATTCTCCCTCTCCAGCAGCTATCAGTTGCCAATAGTTCAGCTAAGGTTGGGGCTTCTTCTCCAGTTTCCCACTTCTATGTTGAAATTTTGTCTGGCTTGAGCTTCTGAACTCACAGAAATGGTAACAAGCACAAAACACTCATAAGCACTTTTTATCTCCTGATAGATTTCTGCTGGGTTGTTTGACTACGATTTGGAGTGCTGCACAGGAACCAACTTACAGACATTTTGCACCATCTTAAAACTAAAAGCAAATCAAGTAACAGGAGAGGAGGGAATAGTATATTCCAAATTCTGACAGGGAAAAAAATGAACTTGGAAGTGTGTATTAGTTTAATGATTCCTCGAGAATGAGGTCAAAATAGAGGTGTCATACCTACAGACTGTCACTAAACACTAGTCAGTGCCATCATAGTGTTAGTAAATCCAAAGAAACAGGATGACAGAGAAAATTGATAATCTTAGAAATAATAAAAATGCATTCAGAGCCAGGTGTGTTGGCACATGCCTTCCATCCACTGGGGAGACAGGGGCAGGTGGATTTCAGTGAAACTGAGCCAGCCTGGTGTACATAGCATGTTCTGAGCCAGCTTGAGACTTCAAAACCACACAATTCAAAACTTAAAAAAAAACAAAAATGCATTTAGGCTTTTAATTACTTATTGAAAACGATTTCTTAAGTGTGGAGTTAAGTAAAAAGTAACACTGAAAAACTAGATGTGATGATCATTGAATTGGATTAAAGTACCTTAAAGTCCCTGTCTTTTTAAAGTCTTTTTAAAAGTATGCCAGAGGTATGAATCACAGTAAACTTTGCAACAACATCCTGTGATTACCTGTAAAATGTATTAGTAAAAGAAAAAAAAATAAAGCCATGGTGGTGGTTCAGGAGGATCAGAACCCAAGGTCAGTCTTAGCTACATTGTGAGTTAAAGGCCAGGCTACATGAGACACGGTCTCAAAAAACACAGAAGAAATACATAATCAAGGCAGAAAAAAAGCTCAAAAAGTTGAGACAAATTAAGATAGCTTAAGTGCCATGTAACACATTTGTAAAAATTTCAAAAAGAGATCCAAAATGTTAAATTACAAGAATCATGTTAAATTCAAGAATCATGGCAAATTTAGCAAAATTTTTGTGACTGTCAAAGGAAAAAGAAATAGCTTCAGTGGGAGCCAGAACATAAAGCACTAAGAAATGAAGGAGTGGCTGAGGGGAAAGAGAAGTACTTCTTAATTCTGTCCTCAGTGAATTTTTATTTTGAATAAAATAAATGCAGATTAATACCCTATGGTACCTCCCAAATACACTAGACACTAACTCTTCTTGCCACCTTAGTCCCAGGCTTGTTTCTTGCTGCCATGAGTTGCAAACATTTCTCTTCTGGTACCCTACATGATAATAGGGTACTAGGATAGTGGGTACAGGAGTGTGCAAAGGCCTTGGGGACTTCTACTTACCT